CCCTTGGTCTACATACACACGAATTTTAGTGGTCTCTGGCCTGGACTCCTCAGCTGGTCCATTTCCAAGACTCCTCCCAAGACTAAAGTTGAGTTCTTGAAGAAGGTTCAGAAGTACATCGCCGCCGAGGAGGCCGAAGCCAACAAATGCCTCCAAGAACCGAAAGTTGATGCCAGCCGAGGGTCTAGTGACAAGAAGAGGAAGGACAAGGATGGCCACAATGGTGGTTGCACCAACAAAGGAGGAGAGAAGAAGCCATCGACCCCTTCCTTCAATAAGTACGCACCGCTAAACTCCTCCCGAACACACATATTGATGCAAGTAGGGAAGGAGGAATTCATGATGTGGCCAACTAAGTTGAAGAGGAACCTGAGAAGGGGAACCCCAAGAAGTACTACAAGTACCACCATGGCACTGGCTACGACACCGAGAACTGCTATGAACTCAAGAACGAGATCAAGTCCCTCATTTACCGTGGACACTTAAAGGATTTTGTCAAAGGTGATGCCCCAGCGTCATCCTCACAACAGCCTCGAGCCAAGCCCCATAATCATCGCCCCCTGGCTGGAGTCATTGAAGTCATAGCTAGAGGCTCAACCTCGGGGGGAGCATTTGCCTCATCTTAGAAAGCATATGTCTGGCAGTACAACATCTAGAGCCAAGCACCAAAGATGTCAAGGTCGGAAGACTTCATTTCCTTCTCAGACGACAACCTACAAGGGGTATCTATGCCCCACGACAACGTATTGGTGGTGTCAATGACCATCGCCAACTACACATTGAAAAGGATCCTCATAGACAATGGCTCTTCAACTGACATCCTATTGAGACGTTTAAGAAGATGTAGTTGACGTTGGACCGATTGTAGCCCATTGACATGCCACTAGTTGGCTTCTTTGGGGCAGTTGTCAGACCCGAAGGAAAAATAACCCTACCGGTCACCATAGGGACTGAACCTCGGTACGTCATTCAGATGACTAAGTTCTTGGGCATGAAGATAGGCTCACCTTACAATGCTATCATAGGGAGGCCGACCCTTCATGCACTCAAAGTGATCGTCTTGTCTTACCACATCGCCATGAAATTCCCCACAGAGCATGTCGTAGGGGAGGTTAGAGGAAACCAACAAGTTTCCAAACAATGCTACGCTGTGGTGCTAAAAGGCAAGAACAAGGAAGCCCTACCACTGGAGGGGCTTGACCTCAAGGATGAACCATGAGGTCAAGGCCATTCAGCCGAGGACCTTATCTTGGTTCCCCTAGACAAGGCCAAGCCCAAGAAAATGGTACGAGTTGGGTCTCGCCTCTCTCATGACACATTTTCTGAACTTCTAAGCTTCCTCAAAGCCAATACCGATGTGTTTGCTTGGTCTACCATTGATATGTCAGGAATTGATCCCTTAATCATTACTCACAGGCTGAGCATGGACCCAAGTTGTAGGTCGATTCAGCAAAAGAAGAGGAACTTTGCATTACAGCGCTAGAAAGCCATCGGAGAGGAGGTGGACAAGCTGATTGGCGCTAGCTTCATACGAGAGGTATATTACCCTAAATGGCTATCTAATGTGGTCATGGTTAAGAAAGCTAATGGAAAATGACACATCTGCATCGATTTCACAAATCTCAACAAGGCATGGCCCAAAGACAACTTTCCTTTGCTGATAATTGATCACCTCGTCGATGCCACCACAAGGTACAAGTTATTAAGCTTCATGGATGCTTTCTCCGGCTACAACCAGATAAAGATGCAACCAACCGATGAGGAAAAGACCCCGTTCATCATCAAGCAGGAAACCTATTGCTACAAGGTGATGCCTTTTAGACTAAAGAATGGCAGGGCCACTTACTAAAGGTTGGTGAAAAAGATCTTCAAAGAGCAGATGAGGAGAAACGTCAAAGCCTATGTCAACGACATGGTTGTGAAGAGTCTTAGGGCTAGCCAACACACCTTGGACCTCGGCGAGACATTCGGGTTACTAAGAAAACACAACATGAAGTTGAACCCCACCAAATGCGCCTTTGGGGTTACCTCGGGAAAATGCTTGGGTTTTGCTATCACTCAATGAGGCAAAGAGGCCAACCCCGAGAAGATACAAGCCATACTAGACATGGAGCCCCTCGGTCAATCAAAGAAACCCAGAGGCTCACCGACCGAGTCGTAGACCTCAACCAATTCATGTCCAAGTCCGCTAACCAGTGCATACTCTTCTTTCAAACCATCAAGAAGTTGAAGGATTTCCAATAGATAGAAGATTGCCAAAATGCCTTCGAGGAATTAAAGTCCTACTTTTCATCACCACCATTGCTTTGAGGCCCCTTCCAGGAGAAACTTTGTTCTTGTACCTCTCGGCAAGGGATGAGGCAGTCAGCTCGGTGTTGGTTCAAGAAGACAAAGGAGTTCAGAGGTCAGCATATTACGTCAGCAAGGTGCTCCACGAGGCTGAGACTAGATATCTAGAAGTAGAGAAAGTAGCATTTGTGCTAGTGAACTTGGCCAGGAAGCTGAAGCCTTACTTTCAAGCCCACAACATCTCGGTGTTAACCAACCAGCCCCTCAAGTCGGTGCTCTCGAAGCCGGAGACCTCGGGTCAACTAACCAAATAAGCTATCAAGTTGTTGGAATTCGAGTTACACTATCAATTGAGACCTGCAATAAAGGCGCAAGCATTAATAGACTTCTTGGTTGAATGCACCTTCGCTATTTAATGTATCCCCTGGGCATATGAAAGGATCATTGAATGAAATATCACCTTCACTATTTTCAGTAACCCCTTTTGGCTACCTCTCCCTTTGTGAGCGGTGCATTTAGCACTATAGCTTGAGGAAACCCCAAACTCTCGACCTGACAATGGGAAGAGAAGAGATCTACACCATTCTCTTTCTATATATCCACAAAATTGAATACCCATTTAGTAAAACTTTGCTAAAAATAGAACGAAGAAGCAACAGTAGTAGAAACAATTAACTATATATCTATTAAGATAAAGATTCAAGAAAGGGTTGAGTAATTACATGTTGAGTGATTAATCGATCAATTTCCAATTACTGTTGTTGGATTTGCAGCGGCATGTCTTCACCAAGATAAGACAAAGGAATGGTGCGAACATCTTTCTGAGACTTGGGCACGACAATGAATGAATTGGTGGTGGAATCCCTCGAATGCTTTCTTGAGACAGGGAGGTTATAGGTAAGACTGCTATTGGCTTCATGGTCATCGTCACTAGAACCGAATTAGAGATAACAAAATTGTAGAAGGGGAGGAGCGTGTCAGCGGTGGTTCCTAATAATGGGATGCTATAGCCCATGCCCATCTAGTTATTGTAGATATTCCATTGTTCCAATGGCATTCATGATTTCTTTGAAAATTCAATTCTGAATAGAAAAAACACATACAAAGATGAAGAGCCCAACAAGACCCAGATTGCGAAAACACAGTAAGCTGGGAGAGGTTCATGATTCAAAATCAATACCTATTTCCAATCACTTGAGAGGGAAAGAGGTTCAAATGACGAGCCTCAACAACCATGAAACTAGGCTTTTCCTTGTTTCTCTATCTTTGTTCACAAGCACAACCAATACATGACTGTGCTTGTGAAGGGGCAATGGGTTCCAATCGAATCTCATTTCCTTAACCATTTGTTTTGAAAAAATAGAAGAAAAAATTGAAACAACATTAAATGAGATGAGACCCAAAAGCTTTGCCAAGCGTGAGCACACACCTAGAGAGAGAGAGAGAGAGTTAAAAAAATAAAACAACCAATTAGTCTATTTTCTCATCCATGGTTGCGGAAAAGGATTTGATTTTGGAGGGAAAAATTAAAAGGGATGAAAAATTTGAAAGTTGGTTTTGACACTTTCCTTCTAAGAGATTTGAATGGATAGTTGATAAAGAAAATTAGATACTCAAAGGGCATTTCTATTTTTTCACATGCCACTTAATGGTTGATTAACAGTAGGTACTAATTTGGCACGTTTTAAAAGTAGTTTCTTTTTTTTTTTTGATAAAAACAACAAGGTTATATTAAACTTGAATTCAGAGAGAACAAAAAACAAACACTAAGGTCTATTTAAGTCTTCGTTTGCCAAATTTTGGATACACCCCGGTGAATCATTGACAAACAACCTAAACTCTTTTAGACCTTTGTTAACCAACACATGGGCTACATTGTTACAGGATCTGTTTACATGAACAAAAGAAATTGACAGGTCTTCAGTAAGCAAAACAATATCCATGCACAAGAAGTTTGCATCCAACGTCAGATCAAAGTTTCTAGAGTTTAAAGCCCGCACCAAAGCCAAACAATCTGGTTCCACTATTAGAGCTTCTTTCTTAAATATGTTCATGACTTCCAAGCTATTGAGAATTGCCATTGCTTCAACTTGGATGGGAGAAGAAGTTGAGGATTTTCCAAAAGCAGACGCTACAACACTTCCTGAAGAATTTCTTAGCATAGCTCCAAAATCTGAGCATCCTGGATACAAAAAACTTCCATACACATTAAGCTTTAAATGGCCTGGGTCTAGGGCTTTCCAAAAAAATGTAGACATTTTGCTTAGGACTTCGATGCTGAAGAGAAGAACTTCCCAGTTCTACTTGGAAAATCTTCACTCTCTCTCTCCACATCATGTAAGTATTTTCAAAAACCTTTAGGTATTGAATTAACACATTTTGAATTTTGGGGACCAAAACCCAAAGTACAACTACTAATATGTAATTTTCTCTTAAAAAATCTTTTAAATTTAACGGAAATAAAGATAACGTTAAGATATTTATCGTAGGTAAAAATTCAAGGGGTCTTTATCGAAAATGAAGATACGGGCGAGGTCTTTATCACAAATAAAGATGCAATGGCGTATTTGTTCAGTTGTCACTGACCCCATATTACGGTGGGGTTTGTAATTAACCTAAAAAATAGCCAAGCCGAAGCTCATTCAATGAAGAGGGTCCACCTTCCACCGGTCCACTCCCCACGCTCCCGCTATAAACCATAGACCGGTGCTTGCCTTTGCATTCCCAGATTCCCAGATTCTCTTGCCCTCCTCGTGTGGTTTTAGATTGTTTCTTTCGTCTCTTTCTTTCTCTTATTCGTTCCACTGTTTATCCCCAACTCTTTTATACCCCTGTAACTCTCTGTTTCGAAGTTTTTTTTTTTTTTTTTTTTTTTTTTCGAAAATAAGCTTCTATGGGGGGAGGCAACGGCCAGAAGTCCAGGATGGCCCGAGAGAAGCACTCGGAGAAAATGAAGGCCCCTAAAGGTATCTTTCTCTGGCCTTTTTTCCCCTTTATTTATGGAGGGGTTCTCTTTATGTTTGCAACAATTTCTTTTATTCCTCTTAGATCTTTGATACTTCCGTTGATTTTTTCTTTTATCCTTTTGCTTTCTCTTTAATCTGTTCGAACTATGCAGGAAGCCAGCTAGAGTCCAACAAAAAAGCGATGACGATCCAGGTAACCTTTCTCTCTTCCTTCAATTTGTTGATGACTTTTCATCTCTGTTTTGTAATGGTGCCCTTTATTTAGGGTTTTTAGTTACGATGTCGATTGGTATTATTTCTTTTGTCGCAAGGTTCTTTTTTTTCTATAATTCGTATTTGGTAGTATTTTTGTTATAGTTTATTTGTGGGGTGTTTAGAAGCGGCATGGAATAAAATCACGTAGTTTTTCTAATGTAACCGAATTATTCTATGGATGTTAATGAATTATAAATTAAGTTATATTACTAATCAAACCAGAAAAAAAATTCAGTTTTTGGTGGCTTTGGCAATGTCATACGCTAGTTATTTGTCTTTAATTATCACTTTCTTACTTGAACTACAAATAAGAGACTCAACTGAACTTAGCCTTAATCTCCTCCCTCCATTTTTTTCTCAGATTCTGTGATAAATATATAGCTGAATTCTGGGATCAAATGCTTTTTTGTCCTGTTCACTTTAAACTACTACACCTCTAGATGTAAAATTTAGGATTTCAAACAAAAATTTGGTGTAAAGTTATCTTGGTATTCAAACTTTTTCTCTCAAATTCTTTTTTAAGAAAAGGAATACACATTTGATTTTCTTTGGAGGAATTCCATAAATTAGTTCTACAAGTTATCATTTGAAATTACCACTGAAAAAACCACTAGGCATTTGAAATATCCTTGAGAAGGTGAGAAATAGCAGCAAAAAAAAAAAAAAAAAAAAACAGAAGCCCAGGAAAAAATGAAGGTGCCAGCTAGCTTAGTTGGTAAAATGTAAGGGATTCAAATTCAAAATCTGGACCTCAGATCAAATCTCTTAGTGCTAATTCCTAAATGCTAACAACCGATCACTGACTCATTGTCCATCCCAAAAAGGAATAGGAGCCTGATATTCGGTGCAAATTCCTAGTGATGCTGAGTCTTAACTGTGGTAAGTGAGTTTTTGCATTTCTTGTAATTGAATTGTCCCATCATTTTGCTGCTATTGTTACATTGGCCAAATAGTTGCAGTATCTTTAACTTTTGATGATGTTTCTATTAGATAAGTGAAACTCTCTTCTTATCCTCTATCACTTCTGTTAATGAGTTAATCTGTTCTGCCTGGTTACTTTTATCTCATTAGATTTTTTTACTTAAGGCTCAGTTTGGAAAGAGCGCAAATACAAATATGTACAGTACAAATACATAGAAAATAATACAAAATACAAGGTTTTGCACTCTACATATTTGTATTTGTACTCCTTCCAAACCGAGCCTAAATAATAACTTTTTGAACACTTCCATTTGATGCAGTTATGATGATAGGCTTAGGCAAGAATCCCAAATATTTACAAGGAAACTTTGTTCCTTTTTTCTTTTACTTCTTTCTCCTTTGTGGCATTCCTTTTTAGTTATTATTGTATTTCAAGAGTCACTAATTCTTTTACTCATTTTCTCTTTCATTATATTGTTTGTTATGCCTTTACATATTAAGGCTCCGTTTGGTAAGAGTACAAATACAAATATGTACAGTGCCAAACCTTATATTTTGTATTCCTAAACCTTGTATTTGCATTTTACATATTTGTATTTGTACTCTTCCCAAACTGAGCCTAAAGAATAAACACTCCAATAATGCAAAGGAAAAAAGAGAAGAAAGAAAAAAAAAAAAGATTTTTGTTGAAAAGGGCACTTGCACAAATAAAAGTCATTTGCGCAAGAGCTCTTTACCATCAATCAGGGGTGGGGGTGGGGGGATCATCCATAAGGAAACGATACTGTATAATGACTGCATTGGCTTTAAACAATATAAGGTGTCCATGATTAAATCTAGAGCATTTAATTACTTTTAAATCTAGTAATACTCAGATATCCATGATGTATTGTCAGTGAAGACCACCTAACAATGTCTCCCAAATTCACACAGATCGGATTGTTGAGAGCTCACTTGCTTGCTTAAGTGCTCTTAGCAAGATTGCTTAAAAGGACAATAAAAGGAGGAAACATAAATGGGTTGATATGTAAGATTAACTTAAAGGACTTGAATTGAAGCTCTTAAGGATTTTAGTAGTTGGGTCTCATGTTTTGCATTATGTACAGATGTAGCCCTAAACTTATCAAAGTTTGCACAATGAGGTTTACTTTTACTATCAACTAGAAAATACAATTGCCCTATGAGGAAGATATCCATGATGTATTGTCAGTGAAGACCACCTAACAATGTCTCCCAAATTCACACAGATCGGATTGTTGAGAGCTCACTTGCTTGCTTAAGTGCTCTTAGCAAGATTGCTTAAAAGGACAATAAAAGGAGGAAACATAAATGGGTTGATATGTAAGATTAACTTAAAGGACTTGAATTGAAGCTCTTAAGGATTTTAGTAGTTGGGTCTCATGTTTTGCATTATGTACAGATGTAGCCCTAAACTTATCAAAGTTTGCACAATGAAGTTTACTTTTACTATCAACTAGAAAATACAATTGCCCTATGAGGAAGATGTATTGGTTATCTAGATCCTTTTTGCCTTATTCTCAACCTGCTCCCTTTCATAACAAATATATTTATCCCTTTTAGTGACTGTTACCTACTTAATTTTGTAAATGTAGTATCTGAGTCTCATCATCATCTAAGTCTTGTCCCAACTATGTGGGGTCATCTACATGAATCTTGTTTCGCCATTACATTCCGTTTAGTGCCATATGCATTATTAAATTATGAGTGCTCAATAGTTTCTTACTTCTTCAACCCATTCCCTTTTTGGTCTGCCCCTAGCCCTTCTAGCCCCTTCAGCATGCAACAGGTTGCTTCTTATTATGGGTGCTGTTGATGGTGTTCTATGCACATCACAAACCATCTTAGTTTACTTTCTCTAATTTACCACCTATTGGAGGTACTCCTAGGTTTCTTCGTATGACTTCATTTCTGACCCTATCCTCTTTAATTTTTCCACTCATCCATCATCTTATGCATTTCTGCCACTCTCAGCATGAGCATTTTTCAGAATAACTGGTCTCCTTTTTGTACACTGAGTATTTTATTGTTGTAAGCTTAACACTTAGTAACCAAAATCGTTCTAGTTATTTGGGGTATCTCCATGGATTAGACTTCCCCCCCTTGAGTATGTTGTATGGTTGAAGCCAAGTTTGCGAGTGTTTATTTGAAAAATAAGAGAATAAGCAGTTATGAACATTTGGTGAAAATACACTTATTTTAAATGGAGGTAGTATAGGTATTTTTAAAATGATGTGGCTGGCCAAGATAGGCCAGAAAGGCAATAAGCACTTAAAAATAAACCCAAAATTTGGGCTTCTCAAATAAGTGCTTATTCTTATTTCAGGCATATTTCCAAAATGCAAATAAGTGCTTAGGTGTGGTCCCGGTCCAAAATAAGTGTTTATTTGAGTAAGCACTTATTTTTAAGCACTCCCAAACTTAGCCTTAGAGAGGGAAATATAATAAAAGAGGGGGAGCAAGTTCCACACCCACTTTGGTTATGCAGGGTTAGTGCTGTACCTTGGCAAAGACTCTGGATTAACATGTTCATGGGTTTTGAGACATGTGACGTGTCTTTTGGGTACTATTGGAATATTGGGTTTAAAATACCTGTTCATGTGTCTTCATAAATATGCTTGCATCTGTATGCATGAACAAGCTTGATCTCTGGCAAAGTTCACAGGTTTCCAGATAACTTTATGCAGTGTCAAAAAGGGCTTATTACATGTTTATTTTCTTGAGGCAGGTGGGTATTAAGATAATTTCTTAAGGGTTAGTTTCTCCTTAATGACATGACTGAATGCATAAAAGTGGAACCTGGTATACTGTGATGGATTTGCCAACTGTATATATCTTTGATCTTTTGTGTATAGCTCCTCCTAACTTTTTCCTAGCTTTATGCATATATAGGAGGGTTCTGCAGATGTTTTGACTAAATTAGTTTCTAAAATTTCCTTACAAGAAATACAGATTATCTATAATTCTCATTTCATATGTCGCCATCTTTCTGTATGTATGAACTGGTACTTAGGACCACAATGACTCTGGTCATTCACCATGTGATCCAGATTTTGAGAGGGGAATGTAGAGAAAATCTGGATCATGTGGTGGTGAACTGAGATAACATGGTTTCCAGAACTGGTTTACCATAATTCTTTAAATTATTTGAAACAACTTGTGTAGCAATTGTATCTGCTAAAGAACTTCACTGAATTTGTTAGTTGTATTTTCTTGGTAACAAAGCTTTTATTTTGCAATTAATGCTTCACTTTTCTTTCTTATACTTTTATATAAAGTAATAAATTTTGTTGGTACCTATAAAAAAAATTATGCATCACTCTCTTATACTTTGAGGCACAATTCAACGTGCATTTGAGTTGAGAGCCCTTTTCTGGATTCATCTGTACTAAAAATGTAAGAATCAAAGGGGTATGCAAGTCAAAACTTTTCATATGCATATATTCTTTAGCAATGAGTGGTTTACCACTTTCTTTCCTGATTATTGTTCTCTTCTATTTTAAATATCAAAGCATAATACGAGGAAAGATCAGTGATGAAGCTGGTTTCCCTTTGCTATTTCCACCTTTCATGTTTTATGGCTGCTGATGCTGTTATTTTCACTTTATTTGTGTGTTGTTTGTACCATTGTAGCATGTTCATGTAGTTTCAGTTCAACATATTTGATTGATAGGTTCATTGTACACAATCATCTGTTTGTTGTTATTTCTTAATGATACTTGATGGATTGTGAATGCAGTGCAAGGTATGCATGCAAACTTTCATCTGCACCACGTCAGAGGTCAAGTGCAGGGAACATGCAGAGGCGAAACATCCCAAGTCTGATATTTATACGTGTTTTCCCCATCTCAAGAAATGAAAATAGTTTGTAAGAACTGGAAAGAACTTATAGAAATGGTTAGAAAAACCTCGTTAAATTGTCTGATTTGAAATTTTAATCAGATTCCCAAGGGATCCATCTAGATTAGCAAGTTACTCACTTGAGACTTTGTGGAATGGGACTATACACGTAAATGATCTCCCATCCTTATATCCTTATAATTCCCCTTTTATGACTATAATTTTAATTGTTATATGATACCCTGTGAAGTGACCTTATCTAGAAATGTGATTAAATGTTGCTCTTTAATCTGATTGTCTGATATCTGATATTCTTCTTTTTTGAGGAAGCCCGTAGGCAGATTCATTCAACAAATTACAATGGATGGAAGTAAAAAATCATAACTCAAGAAACCAGGTCTGAGTTGTAGTGATAGTTAACGCAAGTTTTGCTAGCAGGGAAGGTAATCAATCAGGTCTGATATTCCAGTTTGTGATGGAAATTGTATTTGGCAGCTGATCATGGGAATATGCAGCATGCGTTAAACTTATTTATTTGGCTTGGGCTTTATATTGGTTATTTTTACTGCTTTTGCCTTTTGTAAGATTAGATTTGAGTTCTTTCATTAGCGAGCTTTGACAGTGGCACTTAATCTGAGACCTTGAACAATGTCTTGTTGACCAGGCTGGACATGAAACAATTAGTCGTGGCACATGATCTGGGTTGTTTTCTGTAATGGGTTTGGGTTGGAGTCCAGTTTGGCTGTTAGGGTTCAAAACTGTACGTGCTACCCACAGAATGCTGCTCAACCCTACCGACAGGATACTTCTGGCGCACATTGGGAACATCTTTTGTAATTCATGTTTAGTGTCTTGTGGGTAGTGTGGGTAGGAAACCTTAAAGTTGCCAACGTGGACTCGTGGTTGCTCATCTTAGATGGTGGGGTCAGGATTCAGGACTAGGGAAAAATGGTAAAATGGTACCTGTAAGCTGTAATGTTGGGTTATTATGGGTAATGGAGAGGTTGTTGGGCCCACCATCCATTAGAAAGGAATGCTTATAAGTACGGGAGATATTCCCAGAGACGGGATCTGCTCCTATGTTCCCAATGCATAGGTGGATGTGTGTGAGGCGCCTGTGAGGTGTCAGGTGTGAGGAGCAGATCCGGTTTTATATTCCCAATGCATGGTAGGATGTGCGTGTGAGGTCCCATATGTGAGGAGCAGATCCGGAGTCCAGATTTGTTCCTCACCACTTGGTGCCTCGCAATGTCTTCACAAAATCCAAGGATGCCATGCGTTCCAAAAAATCATGTGAATTAGCATACACGAGTGCGGAGCTTAACAATTGTTAGTTTCAATTTTGTTAGCTCGCTCCCCACCTTCTCATCAAGGTTTAAAGTATCAGAAACGGTATGCACATCAGAAAGGCAAATTTAAGAAACATATTGGGATATGCCTTGGATACGCATAGATACGGACGAAAAATTAAGATACACATGAAAATGTTATAAATGCTTCAATAAATCATAAATAAACATCAATACTATTAAATATAAGACATAAATGGGCTATTTATGCATAAAAATAACATTTTTTAGTGGTTTTTATGAAAAAAATACATTATAATCAAATATACGAGAACAAAACATACTATTTAATAAAGTACTTAATTTAGTTCCAATTTCAAATTTTTAATCTATTATAATTTACAAATTGAACATGTGAATCCTAAAATGATGAAGTTAGAAGTTAGAACATACCTTAATCACTTTCATTATATTCATGCATTCATTAAATTGGTGAATGGTAACATAGTGATGAGTTTATTCTCAACTTAAATAAAATATTATTAAAATTAGATAATAAATAAACAAAAACCGTAAAATTTATAAAAATTATCATGACTTGGCAATTTATTATTGTATCTAGAATCAGAAGTGACGACCATTAGTACCATAAGGAGTTACGTGCAAGTTGAAAGTTACTTATATCAATATTAAACTGATCTCTGATGTAATAACAATATTCATTCCAAATCATCCTGGTGGAATAAGAATTCACATATGCTTGTCTAAAATATTCATATTGCTCACAAGTGCATTGCTGATAATGAGTTTGAGACTGATAATTTGATCCATAATCATGTGAATCACATTGTTATGTACTTTGTGTGCTATATAAAGATGAATCATCAATTTGCTTATCATCATTTTTTCTACCAAAAAGCCATGAGCTCATAGCAGATAAACTAGATCTAGGAATAGATTGAGAAGTAGCCATGTGGCCAAAGCCATATCCATAATCTAGAGATGATCTCAAATTCATGCTACCCATGCCTTGAATCATTTCATTCCTAGGGTTACCATAGGCTTGACTCCACTCATTTTGTCTTTCATAATCATAATTGCCCATTAACTGTGAATCCCTACGCCTATGACAGTTTTGTTCTTCACTAAAAGGCATTAAGTCATATATTGGTGGAATATATTTAAGATATTCACCATTTTGATCACCTTGATGTTGACCACCTCTAAAATCAGCACATTGATTATTTCTAATGTTACCATCTCCATTACCAGCACCACCAGTACCATCATCATCATCACCACCACCACCACCATCATCATCATCATCATCATTAGTAATTATATATATACCGATCAACATTTACTCCCATTTGACTAACAATAAAGGCATCGGGCCTTGGTGGATCACCTGACTCATCTAACACCCTTGATGTATCTTATTTCTCCGCCAACCATGACAATACTGGATCATCTTCATCATATACGTCATCAAGGTTAATTAGGTCAAAATAACCTTCAGCATGCCTCATATCTCTAGTAAGATGTCTAACCCTTAGTCTTATATTGTAATGCACATATACCAACTTTTCAAGAGTCTCGTAAGATAGATGGTTCCTCTATTTTGTATGGATGATGCCAAAGGTACTCCAATTGTGTTTACAACCATTAGATGAAGCAGCTTGTGATAGTACATTTATTACAATCTTTCGAAGATGTGGGGCATCTTAACCATACATCAACCACCATTCAGCTAAAATATATAAAATAAAAATATTTTAGTATCATATATCATTAAAATAAAAATTACTTAATAAAATGTTAATAATTCTAAAATATATTAGAAATTTAAAACTTCATCATACTTGGGTCAATTTTATCTCTTGCTCTCTGTGCCAAACTATCTCTAAATCCTCCCAATGCCTCACGGAATAATTTGACCTTATTGTTATTTGAAATAACAAGTATTAATATTATATGGTCAAATCATCATCAAAACATATTATATAATTTATAAATTTATAAAAACTAATGAACAATAAATAAACAACCTTTTTCAAAGAACTTAACAAATCTTCATCAATAATGAGATCCATAAAATATTGAAATGCTAGATTCAAATAATATGCTGAAATTAAAAAATATATAATAATGTTAATAATTATTTTAAATATTTAGTCAACATAAATGATTGAATGTAAATAATATAAATTTAAAAAAGAACATACATGCTTTGTGAATATGATGGATGAGTTGTGAATTTCATCTCTTCTCTATGATGTTTATGATCTTTTTATGGGAACTTTGGCCAATTTCTTTGATTGTTAAAACAGCTCTTCGCATTGTTTCATATATAATTCCCATTGTTGCCCGCTTTTCATCATCAACTATGTGAAGCATTTTAACGATAGGCTCAATCATATTACAATATAGAAAAGTCACTTTCCAAAAATTGTGATTACTGATTATTTTCTCAACTTTTTGCCCAATTGATATTTTACTTTGTTGCAACGATCTCCAATCATCTGAATCAATCATGGCTCTCAATGCTGCTTTTTGAGAAATAAGGTTTTGCAATGCACAATGTAATGAGTGGCACATATGGTGGGCCCTGGACGTATTAGTTCTCTGTCTTTTGTCAATTTTCTCATCAAGTTAAGAATTATGGCATGATTATAGATAAAAGTTATGATTTTCTGCTCTTTTGCAATAAGACTAGACACCTTAGATAATTTTGAGATATCTTCTAACATCAAGTCAATACAATGGGCTGCACATAATGTCTAATATATGTGCTTTTTATTTCTTTTTAACATTCTTCCAGTTGCTTTGTAAGTACTTCCATTGTCAGTTATGATTTAGACAACATTTTCATGACTAATTTCATCAATCATTGAATTCTTCAGTTTATACAAATATTGTGCATTATGGTACTTACTTGATGCATCAATAGATTTGTGAAATATTGTTTGTCTATTGCAATATATCATAAAATTTATGATGAACAATCTGGTTGGCCCTGTCCAACCATCACACATGATGGTAAGCCCATAAGTGCCAGCCTTCTGATAGAATGCCTTGAAATGGTCTTGTAACTCAACCACTTCTTCATCTAAAAGCTTTCTCATCACCTCATAAGCTGTAGGCCCCTTCAAACATTTCCCTGCATTTTCTATTTCATCTATCATAACTTGGTAATATGGGGAGATTGTTACATTTGCAGGAATGTGATTGTATAACAAAAACTTTGCAATTGTTCTTTTCATATTATGCCCAAAGCTTTTCTCGTAACACTCCTTAAGTTTTTTTTGTATAGCATCCTTGTCTCTGTATAAATATCTATCAATCTCTTCAATATTATGAGTGTCACTACTTGATGAAGACTTTTTAAAAGGATTTAGCTTTGAAAATGCTCCTTTCATACTTGATGTACGAAACAATTTACTTTTACTCCTTGATAAGGATGCTTGTGATGAACCACCACCCCCCTGATACTCTGAATCTATAAATACAAACCTACTACTACGAAATCGTTGTACTTGCTCCTCTTCCCACTGTGCAGCTCGTGATACATGTATTCCAATGTTATATGTTCTTTGCTTTGCATCATCATCATCTATGTTAAAATATTGAGGTCTTAATTCTATGTCTTCCTCCTCTCCTTCATCATCATCTCTAGGCCCCAATGTTCTTCTAATCATTTTTTTGTCATTTTCTTATTGCTTTCTCAACATTTCTTGTCCTTTGAGATGTTTCTACATCGCCTTAGAAATTTCTTGTGGGAATTTATGGTAACTAACAATATTAGGATATCCTCTTGCTAAGTGATGTTTCAAACAAGTCACACCACCACCTTTTATAACATGCCCACAAAAGTTGCATTTTGTATGGAGTCGATTCCCAACAACCCTAGTGCCATATTCCCAATCAATATCTTCTTCTTCTTTCTTTTTGGGTGCCATGTCAAAGGATTAAATGGTCAAATTCTAAATCCCAACTCCCA